GGGGGCGTGGCTAAGTGTGATCTCAGTGATCTTATGTGGTTCTGACGTGTTAGGAAAATATGAGACAGTGCTTCAAAAGCCTTTCTATGTGATGTGGCAAGCCGATTAAACTATTTCTTGACTGATATTGAAATCCCAGGGAGACTCTGTTTAGAGTTTGCTGGCCCAGTTTAACCCATTCAGAACCGGGTCATAATTTCATTATAATCCCGTCTCTGAGCAGATCAAAACCACAGGGCCAGTCTAAATTAAAAATATCTTAACACTCTCTAACTTTATCTCCAAATTGTTCAACCTGTTCTGTACCTCTGATGATCTCATTCCTAATTTTATGCATCCTTGTCACTCCTAAGAAGAACCTCAGCATCATCATTTCTACCACTTCCAGTTCTTTCTCGTGTTTTTTTTTTTTTGTCAATGCCACTGTCTCCAGACCATACAACATAGCTGGTCTCACCACTGTATTGTAAACTTTTCCTTTGACCTTTGCTGACACCCTGTTGTCACAAATCACTCCTGAAACTTTTTCCTATCCAGTCCATCCTGCCTGGACTCTCTTCTTCACCTCTTTACCACATTTCCCATGTTCCTGGACAGTGGACTCCAAGTACTTGAAGTCCTGCGCCTTTGTGACCTCTGCTCCTTGTAGCCTCACTGTTCCACCAGCCTCTCTCTCATTCACACACATGTACTGTGGCTTACTACGGTTGACTTTCATTCCTCTTCTTCCAACTGCATACCTCCACCTCTCCACGTTCTCTTCCACCTGTTCTCTGTTCTCACCACAGATCACAATGTAATCTGCAAACATCATAGTCCATGAGGATTCCTTGCTGACCTCAGTTGGTCGACCACCAGAGCAAACAAGAAGGGGCTCAGAACTGATCCTTGTTGCACTCCCACCTCCACCTTGAAGCTATAAGTCACTCCTACAGCACATCTCACCACTGTCCTGCTGTCCTCATGCATGTCCTGTATCAGTCTAACATACTTGTCTGCCACTCCAGATTTCCTCATACAATACCACACCTCTTCCCTCGTCACCCTGTCATATGCTTTCTCTAAATCCACAAAGACACAATGGAGTTCTTTCTGACCTCTGTACTTCTCCATCAGTATCCTCAAAGCAAAGATGGCATCTGTGGTGCTCTTTCTCAGCATGAAACCATACTGCTGCTCACAGATAGTCACCTCT